TTTTTTTTTTAATTTTGTACTTTTTAATTCAGTGTCACACGATTGGTACTTTTGTACAGATTTTTACAATGGGGACGGCAATTTTTTTTGTAGTCCCGCGATTGGTACAATACAGCGAACTTCTATGAAGAGATAAATATTAAAAAGGTAAAACATGCAGAAAAGGCAGAACAGGGCAGTGATTCTTTAGTTATTTTACAGATACGCATACAAGATAGGCAAATGCCTTAAAATCCTAAGCCTGGTAATAAAAATAAATAAGTCCCAAGGCCAGGCTTTAGCAAGAGTATGATCTTGCCGAAATATTAAAGTTAAAGTTAACTACCACATCAGGAAATCAGGAAATATGCAGATTTTTTAGACCTTGGTGCTCCGATTTCGGGAGTATTACTAGTTTATAATTATTTAAAATATTATTCATATATATAATTAAGCAAAAATTTCCCATCAACAATTCGAAATAGAGCAGTTTTTTCACTTAATAACACTACTCTTAACCGACCTGGCTGAACTCGGATAAATAGACGAGTTTGTGTTGTTACTTTGCATGTATTTCCTTACTTTACTGTAGCTCGGTTGCAAAAGAATGCACCTACTATAAACAACCAAACGAATAAAAGCAAAGCAAAAACTACTAACTTTCTATATGAATGAATTTTTGTCGTATGTCCAACAAAAAAAAAATCGCATTTAAAACTGGTGCGATAAATATTTGCAGTGTCCCTGTGCCATAACCTAAGCCAAAGCTGCATACCACTGCTGCTAATGTCACTTCAATTGAAGTTTTTCACATCACTTCATTTTACTTCGTTTTGCTTTACTTTCCACAAATTAGATGTAACAGCAAAATAAATAAAAATTTCCTTCAAATAAATTATTTATTTTACCAAAATCAACAATCTTTTGCTAAAATTCTTGTTAAGTAGTAAGCATGGCAAAGTAGTTTTTCGCAAAAATCTACTAAAAACATGCCTGGCATCGGTTATTTGGAAGAAATCATATTGACTTTCATTTTCGAATGTATAGGTGTAAAGCGCAAAGAAATGAATGAGTGGATTAAATTTCATAACTATGTATTTATTAAATATGTATTTGACGAAAATAAGAATTATATTGAAGTTTTCATATATCTTCATTTTTTCAGTAAAAAGGAAACCTTTAAGTGAAGTTGTTTCTATGTATCGGTGCGGGCTTTATTGCTGTGAATCGATAATAATCGATTAAGCAATTTTTAGTGTTAATATCATCAGTCAACTGTAATTTTTGATTTTCTTTCTTGGACGTTTGAGGCGTGGTCATTTTAAAGATATTCCAATACTAAATTTGCAATGAGGCCGCTGTTGTGTAGTGGTAAGCAGTGCGCGCTTTCACTCATCAGCACCTGGGTTCAAACCCTGGTCAAAGCAACATCGCACAAAATATAGAAAAAAGGTTTTTTCTTTAACAGCGGTCGTCCCTCGGCAGGCAATGGCAAACCTCCGAGTGTATTTCTTCCATGAAAAACGGCTTCTCATAAAAATACAATCGCCGTTCGGAGTCTGCATAAAACTGTAGGTCCCTTCGCTTTGTATGACAACATCAAGGCGCACACCACAAATCGGAGGAGTAGCTCGGCCAAACACTAACATATGTGTAAGCGCCAATCTATTATTATTATTATTATAAATTTGCACAGGAACATAATAAATTATAAATTAATAAAGGTTATAGATTATTTTTATTGTGATAAAAAAGTAAGCAGTATGAAAATCAGTTGATAAATAGCCTAATAGAAAATCCCCACACCCCTAATTGTGCTTGAAAGTTGTCACTTCGATAAGCACTTAACTTTTCATCCCAAGTCGCTTCGAAACACTTCACTTTTAGTGTGTTTTCACTTCGCTCGAAAATTAGCAAAAGGCAGCACTGCTGCATACAACTCGTGCCGCTGAATGAATGTACGGTGAGTATGTTGCTCATACGCCCTGTTGTTCGTCATAACTTTCCCAGCGTTTGTGCGGATGAGCGAGTTTTTTTATTGGATTATTAAGCGAGTGTTCCAATGTCCGGCACGTGAGAATTATAAAAATCTGCAGAAAAAAAGAAACAAATCTAATCGGGGTAAAATATTACGTTTCATTCCTGGTTTGGTGTCATCATAGCGGTGCTCTTTCGTCTAAATATCTTTTTCATCATTCCTTTTATTAAATCATCATTATATAAATAGGCAATCATGTTTCCTTTACACCCCTTTTACG